AAAACTATTTTGATGTGTGACTTCTCTTGGCAGAGCGTTCGCCCTGTTCTCTGCTGCTGCCAGCAGCCGCCTGACGCGGGGCCGCTCCTGAAGGAGAGCCTCTGCCTTTCTTCGTGTGTCTCAGCCAGGGAAACCTCCCTGGGGTGGGGAATGACCTCCTCGGCTGGAAGCAGCATTATTTACTGTGGTTACTTTTAAGTTGATATTTATTTATTTATTTCAAGTTTCCATCTGTAGGCTCTGGCTGTGGTTCAAGGTCTTCTCTTCCAACCATTTCTAATGGGTATCTGCTCTCCCAGACTTTCTGTCCTTTAGGGTCCTAATACGACACGCAAACTAACAGTGACAGTGTTTTTGTGGTACTTCCATTTCTAACAGCTTTTCATCTCACTATGTGTGTATAGTTTTTGGTTGGTATTCAAAATCCCCCAAATCAACTCATATTACAACTTGCTTTCGTTCTTCACTATTTTCACGTCCTCATGACTTTTTCAGCCCTGACAAAGGTGTTAACGCTGTATCTGCAGTGCCAAGCCACAGGACAGGGCGATGTTTTCTACTGTTCTAATTTTTTTTAAGAAAAAACTCTGTGAAAATGTGCTAGTTCAGATGCCTAGTGCATGTCACATCCTTAAACTTCTTTTAATTTGCCTTTTCATTTTTACAACTGACGTTCTCACTCCAGATCCCTCCCCTGGGTTTCTACAAGTACAAGCCTGAAGATTTTTTGCCCAATGTTGAATATTTTTATGATATCGTTTCTATTAATATAGTATATTTTTACAATTATTGTTCATTATAAGAAACAAAAGAAAGTGCAGGGACCGTCCAAGCAGATCTTACGCTCCGTGTATTTTAATTTCTGCGTTTTAACAGTAGCTCTGAAGAGTCACAGTAATTGTATGCCTATGCCAGGAGTTATGCAGAGACCTGCATATATAATTGTTTCTGCTGTCCTTGCTGAGGTAGCCCCAGCTTTAGTGCTGCATTACAATTCAGCTCCTGCACCTCCGTCTCACGTAGCATGTGCCTGTGTGCTCCAAAGCCAGTTGTGTGTTTCCTGAGTTGGCAGGAGTGCAAGTGCAGATGCAAGAGATTTATTCTCTGAGGGAAGACAGCTTTTCAGCTACTTTCAGATAAATGCTAAGTGTGTAGGCTTTGAATCCAGCTAATGAATTCAGTGTGTGCACTAGAACAGAGGCCTGAAAGGACCACCTGGGTCACCAATCCCCAATAACTGCAGGCAAACATCTAATAAATGTTAAGAGCAAAATGTCCTGCAGGAGATCAGAGCCTGCCCTCTCCATTCACTGCGCACCATAAAGTAACGTTCTTCAAAAACACACACACTTACCAAATGATGAGCTCCTTAAGGGGATGAGTTCAAAAGCCTCAAAAATTACAGTGTAGGACGTGGGAAGTGGCGGAGGGTATAAGTGATGTGCTAGCACTCAGAGGTGGCTGGATGCATTACACCAAAACATTCACAATAGCCCATGGGACAGGTCCAACATACACAGATACTGTTTTCATGTCCTAGCTGTGTTTGGAAAGCCCCTCAAGAATTTCACTCATCTCTTTGGTTACGTGCCTTCTAATTTCCAGTCAAAATATATTCAAGACATACTTAAATCCACTTGATGTTGCATCGGTATTGCGTTCAATTCCCTCACTTATACTTCAACCCTGAATACGTATTTAAAAAGCGAACGGATCTTTGCTTTGTTACAAAAGCACTTCATGCTGCTCAGTCCTCTAACAGGGAGGGATGGAGGCACACCACGCTGGTTCCCCGGGTGGAAACGTATCATCCTCTAATGAGGAAGAAACCAAAGCCTAGGCCATTTGTAAACGAGCCCTGTAGAAGTGTGCAGACACTTCCCTAGTCCTGCTGGCTGGGCACAGCCTGCAGTCACTTCCAGAAGTTTTGCTGTTGTTCCTACACACTCTTGGCAGCCCCCAGGGAGTTCCCAGGCCTTCGGTGCCTTTCCATCCCAAGGAACACACTACTCGAGTTAATCCTGCCTTGGAGAATTTGTGCCATCCTTTCCATCCTCCAAACTTTCCTTGCTGTACCTTTTTGAGATGGAGGAACAGAGCTGCATGCCACTCAAGAAGCAAAAGAAACATATCTTTACAGGGTAGCCACGTGGTATTTTCAGCATATTTTGGTTCCTTTTGGTATTTGCTTTTATAACCACTATTGAAACTAAAGTTAATATTATTCACAGAAGAACCTTTCTCTACTTCACAGCTCTGTCCGTGCCCCAGAGTTTCGCAGGTCGGTGGATGGCACTGGTCACTCAGCACTCATCACCTTGTGCTGTGGGATTTTTGTCTCCCTCACTTCGCGCCCACCTACTCTGAATTTCACCTGCCAGTACCTTGCCCAGCCACTAAGTTTTGCAGAATCCTCCTGCAGTTTTTCACAGTCAGCAGTCATCTTTACTGCTCTGAATAAAAGCATCATCAGCACACTGTCATCTTTTCTAGTTCGTTTATCAGTGGAGTATCACAGGTTTCAGCACAGATTCTTCCGAGACCCCACTAGTGTCATCCTCTCACTCAGAAAACTGATCATTTAGTCCTACCTTCTGTTTCCTATCTTCAGACCGATTTTTTGTTCATCTGAACAGCTTTCCTTTTATCTGATGGAAGCGCAGCTCCTAAGCATATGATAATAAAGTAGAGCTTTCTCATCCTTTTGGCTTTAATCACAGGGTTGGTCACAGAGCGGAGCTGAGCCCTATTTCCCTGGGGAGGGCCCAGAGTTGGGTTCATTTGCTCTCTTTTACCAGCACGACTCCAGTTTGCCACAAATCTGGGGCTGCTAATCGGGATGGGATTCTCCAAAAGGCTCTTTTCTCCTTTTTCTCAGTGGTTTCAGGTTACTCAACTCTTCTCCTGTAACGTGTTCCACTGCACTGCTCCCTCCCACAGCCAAAACCACATACTTTTATCGGGCAGATCCTCAGAACCTGAAGTTTAAAATCCAAGAACTTCTCTTACTGGAATGTAGATTATTATGAATGCAAGTACCTAGGATCTATTTTTTTTAGAATAAACTGGGACTCACTGGTGAGCTGATGTTAAAGAAAACTTTTTAGATTATAAAAGGTTCAGCTAAGAGATAAGACGTTTTTGTAAAAACAAACAAAAAAGGTGAGTTTACAAATATGCTGAATCTCTTGTTTGCAGCAAAAAAAAATAACCTGTTACTAGTCCCTAAAAGAATGTCAGTGTGCTTATTAGTATTAGATTTTCCTGCCTTTGTTACACTAATCTACAGAGTCCACAGAAGGTTCCCACACAGTATTTGTGTCCTCCACAATATCACAAGAGTATGAAAAAATCATATCAAAACGTTGTGCCAAGGTTACTAAGGAAATACCGCATAGGGCTGGTCACAAGACCTTATCCCTCAGTAATACTTCTAAGAAGTCTCTTGCAACCTGTGACTCACCTCCCAGCACATCCCACCCTAGTCCCCTCTTTACCCAGTTTCTTATCTGCCTGAGACAGCTTCTTATAATTCCTCTATTAATCTGCACCATCTCCACTTTAAATAATAATTTCCTTTGGGAACTGTACTCAATGAATGCTTCCTTGATATCTAGGCAGCTTAAGCTCACTGCATTGCTGTAGTCTGAGATGTTCACGTCCTCAGCAAAAAGAAGCATGAAGTTAGCCTGACAAATTCTCCTTCTGATCACAATTCTGCATTTTATCCCACTTTTCACTTTGATGATATTCTTGATTACTCTGCATTCAAAACTTGTCCTAAGGCATTACACAATGTTGCAATAACCTAATTTGCACGTACTTGGGGGATATTTTTTTAATTCTTTTTGCACATAAGTTAGTATGCACCAGTCAAAGGCATTATCCCCATATTGCAACATGCATTAAGAGTTCTTACTACTGTGGCCAGAGGTAAAATATGAAAAGTAATTCATTCCGTTCCTACAACAGGGTAAGTAATAAAAATGACAGTTTTCCTATCCCTTGCCCATCTGCACATAAATCACACGGACCCAGCAAAAACAACAACTCTCCTCTTGGTAGGAAGAAACAACTCAACTGGTCTTTTGATATTCCAGTGTGGTTTGTACTTCACTCCTTCAAGGGCAGTGATATACCAATAGCAGAGCACTGAGAAGTGGAATGGAAGTACTAACAAGAGAAATGCACTGGGAAGAATTAGTTGATGTCATTTTTAGAACAACTGCTTACCATTGCTCATTAGGGTTTTAATTTGGTAGCAGTTCATACTTCATTTGTGTTTTCCAAAGCAAATAATATTTTTTTTTCCACTGAAGTTTACGTCACCAGCAGAGTTCACTGCAACATGTCAAGGAAATAGGAATCTGAAATAATTCCACCTTCTCCTACCTTGCTGCTCTTTGTCTGAAATCCCAGGCAAAAATTTACAAGTGAAAACACGACTTGAGGAGAGAGAACTCAGGTCATGGTATGTGTTTCCAACAAAAAGAACTACCTTTTCCCTGTGGTACAACAGAGCTGCTGAGCTGATTCCCATCTTGTGATTCAAATCAACACTTTAATTCTTGGTGACATGGAGTGTACAGCAGACACCACTCCAAGAGCTTCCTATGGATAAATTTGCAATCACTTCCCCGCAACGTTTTCTAAGTTCATCTTTGAAGGACGTGACTTACAGACACAAGTACATCACAGAGACATTATTCCCATCATACAACTCTATACAGACATTTCAACAGATTCCTACTAAACTTTTAAAAAGCAAAAACAAAACAAACAAAAAAAAACACTAGAAGTTAAGAAATGTAAGTAAAAAAAAAAAAAAAAAGTAGTTTTCAGGAAACAGCAGTAGAAAAAGTGGGAAATAAAAGCAACAACCCTTCCAGAGGCGGACTGAGCTTCCAGGAATGCAGGTAATTAAATAGATTATTGAAGAGTGTATTTTGGAAAATGCTTTTACCAAAAGCACGCCCATATTAAAAGCAAAATTATGGTACCTTAATTGCGCTTCTCAGCTGTTGTTGTTGAGATCATATGTTGATTTCCTGGAAAACAGAAAATACAGAATTAATCATGCTCATTATTTAAATTACTGATTAATAACAACATCTAGTATCACACATTTTTCTTTACTAAAATGGGTTTAAGCCTGCAAAAGATACACGGAGAGCAGAATACAGTTTTTGATATCTGCTCTTTTATTCCTGATAAAGGCAGCTTCAAATAAGAAAAATAACAAGAAAACAATGCCTGGGGTTTTCACTGAAGTAGTTTACATATTTCCATGAAGGCTGCCAAGAAGAAACCAAGGAAAAATTCACAATAACTTTCTTTTATAGTATCTACCATAAAATATACCTATCAGGCGTTTATCTGTAATTTCTTTCTACTCATTTATATTCCCTGTCATTCCCCAACCTAAAACATTTAACATTAAAACCTGTAGAGCACCTGTTTTTCCCTCTGGAGGAATCTCTCGGGCCTCCCTCTGATAGCCTCTGGTGCCAAACTTTCCAAAGTGTGCCTGCTTACTGCCTACCTGTCACCACGGTGGTACATTAACAGAGCTGTTGAGAGAGTTTACTGAATCGTTCAGAAAATTTGATGGCAAATTCCCCATGTTTAACATAATCCAGCCCTGAACGTTCCCAAAAGTGAAATCTGAAGCTACAGAATTGCACATGGTCCCCTCTGCAGACTGGGCACACGGAGTGCACCTAAAGCAAGCCTCTTTCAGACAGCTCCAAAATTAAGGAGTCACAGCACAAGTGGCACAACTGTCTTCTACATGGTGGGCCTAGCTCCACTTGATCAACTCCACAAAAATCACTTTGATGAAATTGAGTCAAAGCATCTGAACAGGACCTTCAGTTTGGCTGGATGTTTTAAACTCTTAGTGGCTGGCTTTGAAACTGAATTGTATAGTTGCTGGGATCATTTCACCTTTCTCAGCAAAATCCGGATCTTCACTAAGAGAGCATCTGTCAGCATTATCTTCAGGCAATTTCATGTGAAGCAAAGCCATTTTGCAGGTTGCTGTTTTCTCTCTCATTTAAGCATTCGTTAGTTATCTATGTAATAGGACTCAATTGGTTGGAATATTCAAAGAGCTATGACTCGAGCATAAAACAACAAAACTTATTCTCAGGCTGTTAATTGTCAGCACAGAAGCTGTTCATTACATTTGAGTTTGCCAGTTTGCCATGCTCTTAGAGCAGAAAAGAGGCAAATTTAGGTACAGTCAGTTTGCTTTGCATTAACTGAAACTGTTGTTTTGTTCTGAAATGGAAAAATGCACGGTAGGTTGGGTAGTAAGGATTTGTAAAATAACTCAAGGCTTCTTAAGATTGATGGAAGTTTGTGGACGCTCGTGGATATTGTACTGACTCCAAACAAAATGTCACATAAAGGCAAACAAATTGGCATTTTATTAGCCTTCAAAAAAGTATTTAAGTAAAATGGGTAAACTTCACTAAGAGGGCACTGTGTGCGAGTGTAGGAGTATGTAAATTTTTCCCAGAATAGGTCAGGCTGACCAAAACATTTCTCTCCCTTTAATATATAAAATGTACACACAAAAAGAATAAAAAAAGAAAAAAAAATGAAAAAAAAAGCAGAACAAACCCAAGGAATAAACAATCTGCAGGTGATTGCATCAAAAGTCTGCTTATATTTCTGAAGCAATCAAACAGTTCTAGTTAAATATATATATATAAATACTGCTTCCAGCAGGCAAACGTACGATCCAAATTTACTCCTAAAAAACACATATTCCCTCCTTGGTAAAAAACTGGGGGTGGGAGGGCAGCTGCTCATGTATGCTGTGCACTGCTCAGTATGAAATCCTGGATGGCTCTGGATGGTTAGCACTAATTCCACCAAAATAATTACTTATTTCACCCCCAAACCCCTACAGCATTAAGGCTGCAGTTAGTTTGCCCGGAGAGTGCCCAGCCTTCCTGCGTGCAGAAGCACACCACGGATTGCATTGCCATGGGAACAAGGCTCACCACTTCCTTTACCAACAGCCTAATGCCTGTGGCCAGCAGATTTTAAGATCAATGATCGTCGTTTTACATCCGTGTAATGAAGATGCATCGCGCCCGGTGCTGTTCACACAACACTATTCCTCATGCTCATCAAGGGCTTTTAGCTCTGTGTATTATCTTCCAGAAACATAAGCTGTTCAGATTGTGGTCGTTTTGAATTTGAACATGAAAAAGAGCGATGCTTCATCCCGGGAGACAAGACCTGGGGATCCCTCAGCTAGCAGGGCTGACAGCATTATGCAGCCCCCACACCAATGTCCTAGCAAGGACTGGACAGACATTTGGCCTCTTATTTCTTCCCTGGCCTTGCAGTGATGCAGGAAGCAGCGAAAGGCATTCTGAAATCCTGCTGCCATCTTCCCTTGCCATCCTTGCCAGCAGATGTATACATTGCTATTAAATTACAGAGGAAGCACAAATTGCATGTTTGTGTAATCATTTCAAAATATTTTGCTGACTAAATACATTTTCCAGGCTGTAATTCAAGACTTGCTTAATTTCTACCATTGATAACTGCCTGAAAAACAAATCTTGTCATTAAATCTGAAACAATTTTTCAGTAAATTTCAAACATCCTAGTGTTGTGGTTTGTTTTTTGTTTTTTTTTTTTTTTTTTTTGTTTGTTTTGTTTTTGTTTTTTTTTTTTTGAGAAAAGCTTTCCACTTCTTTCTTAGTAACACAATAAAATATTTCACCTGTAGGAGAAGAAAAGGACAAGTTTGAGAAGAGGAAAGGTTCGGACAACTCTGCTCTTGAGAACACCCACGAGTGATGTCAAAGCCCAGAAGGACAGGTTCAAACTGCAGTTCTGCCCAGACTGCTTGCAATTTTTCGTTTTCTGAAGCCTGATGAAATTGATGGGTAAGTACAAATGCCTCTAGTATATAAGAGATTCACTTCTCAGGCTTCCTGAAATAGGTTCCTGACCTTTTTCAATAGACATCTGCTGACTCTTCTGGCAAGGTGGTGTTGCGAGCTTTCAACGTCCAAGACTTGGGTCTTTGATCCGGTGAAGTCGGTTCTACTTTCCTTTGTGCTGAAGGACTCGCTGCCTCTGTGCATGTCTGTGTTCGTTCAGTTTTAATTGCCAGATCTAGGCACTGCTTAGGTACGGCCTGCTGAAGGCTGGCAGTATTTTGCCCAACTTTGCTTCACTGAACACAGCAAACTGCAGCCAGTGGTAGCCACAGGCAGGAATAAGGTGCAACCAGGTTTGGGGGTGGGAAGCAGGTACCTGAGCAGAGGCAGCAGCAACAGGGATAAACTCAAGGGCAAATCAAGCTGTTGTGGAGCAGAACTGACCTTAAAATTCAGAAAATGAAAAATTCTTTGCTGTACGGTCAATGTTTCAAACGAGGAGCCACGTGGGCTGATCAGGACACCAAGAGCAGGAACCTGGACTGGGCAAGTAGGTGCCAGAGGAGGACCAAGCCCAGAGAGCAGGAGACATGCGCAGGATCCCTGAGATCTGAGCCTGAGAAAAGGGACCTGGCACAGGGTAGAAAAAGCTGACAAAGCGGCACAGTGGCCAAGTTGTCTCTTTCCCAGTTTTGTTGGGCTTCCTGGTCCCTAGTCCCCGAGGAGGACGTCCACAGCAGGGACTGCAACCCTAGAGCTCATAGGCCAGGCCAGGCTGCCTCACAGCGAGGTGCTCAGAGATGGCAGTGTAGATGATTTCCACCACACCTTCTGTTCGGTATGGCACTCTTTATCCCTTCCCTCCTGATGCTGCTGCAAGGGCCCCTCTGACCTCCTCCAAAGCTCCTGGCCCCAGACGCCCTTCGCACCCTCACCTGCTGGAGGAGCTGGTGGGACAGCAGGGCCCTCACCACCAGCACCTCACAACGCTCCCCGCCAGCCAGACCCCGGCCCACCACATTGCCTTCACCTGCAGCTCTCCTCACCTCTTCCCTTTCACTAAAATAAGTGACTCAGAAGTACTTTTAAAGCTATCTTAAAAAATCAGCACGAAGAGCAGCATTAGCAAAACTAGCTAAGGAATGCGAGTTCACATCTGCGTGAGGTGAGAATCCTACACCTCTCAGTAGGAATTCTAATTCTAAAGTTCTAAAGTTCTAAAATTCTAAAATTCTAAGTAGGAAAACGTTGCCTGCAATGACCCTTACAATACATGATTTCACACGTAACATCTAAGCAACCTCCATCTCCACACTTCTCTCAACGTCCAATATTGAATTTCTGTGCAGCTAGGATATATTCAGTATGTCAAAAAATTTGAGGAATATTTAACGTGTCTTTAAATACTCACAAAACCTGCTCTCTGCAGAGGCTAACCACTTTTTTTCCCCTGCTCACAAGGAAAATCCAAGAACCAATATCACTAAGTAGCTTTGGGGAGCAGGGAGCTGATTTGCTTTGCAAATATTTTTCTCCTCTCCTGTAGGAAAAAATGCTTGATTCTGCCTAAAGAATATGCGTAAATGGAAGTTTTTATCACGAAAAATACTAATAAAGCAATATTCTTTACAACAACTAAAACTTATCTATTCTATTTGTAAGTCGATATCCTCACCTGTTAGTAAGCAAAACTTACAGGTGCTGTTCCTAAAAAAGTCTTAGAAAACCACCACCATCTAAAAGTCTCCATCATCTATTAATAATATGCAATGAATATTACTCTGGCATTTTTATTATAACTTTGTTAAGTTGGAGGAATGAAAACTTGATTTACTGCAATCCTTTTCTGGAAAATCAGATGAGTCATGTTTCTTTTGGCATTGGAAAGTAAACTCGAGTCAAAGTAAGTGATTTGTTTTACCATTACTTCTTGCTTCCTATCTAAAATTTCATCTATATTTATGTCAGCCTCGTTTTAATGCATGTAAATGTTGGTTTCACGTAGCTGCTGAAACCTGGTTGACTGAACACAGGAGCAGCAATAAAATTCCAAAACTATAATCCCAGGTTTAATTTTTTTTCAGTACTCTGTGCAACACAAACTCAATAGGTAACTCAACTGCATCTGAAGTACATGT